TGCTTCATATAGCACTGCAATAAACTATGCGTATGATTTCATTTCCTTTGGTAAATCTGCACAAATATTAGAAAGTACTTAACATGTGTTAAGTGAGATAAATTTTAGTGAGATAAATAATAGTGAGATAAATTTTAGTGAGATAAATGTATTTTACGTTTATAAAATCAGTTGATAAAAAACTGTATTGACAATTTTAATAGTATTTATAAAAAACAATGTTTTAAAAATCTAATTATAATTATTATAAATAAATAATAAATACAGACAACATTTTATTAAAATGAATGTAATTACTAATAGAAATAGCTGCAAATATAAGAAATGGTATTATACCCGACGATACGGATACCAAATGCTATATTAATTGTATTATGGAAATGATGCAAACGGTAGATATATTATTTAAAAATAATTTAATAAATTTTTCTAAGTTTTTTACTTAATTTCAGATTAAAAAAGGCAAATTTCTATACGACGGCGCACTTAAACAGGTTGATATTCTCTTGCCTGAAGATTATAAGGATGAGTACCGTACCGGTATAACCGCCTGTAAGACGGCAGCTGTTGGTGTCAAAAATCACTGTGAGGCGGCTTATATTTTGTTGAATTGTTTGCGTGGTAAAATAACTAAATTTGTATTTCCTTAAAGAGATAATATTCATTTTATCACAATAATTATTAATTAATTGTTAAAAAAATTAATGAAAAAGAATTTTATGATTAAAAAATAAAAATTAAAAATTCACATAATATTAATTTATTCGCATATTTGTTGTTGGCATTAAGACAGACATTGTACAAAATCATCTAATAAAATTATTTAAATTCAAAAATTATTTAGTATTATTTTAAAAGCTTTATTAAAAGTAAGGAGGAATAATCCATCTATCCTTATTATTTATTAAATTCAAAAGAATAATTATTTTTGAATAATATATTTTTACATTCACCTTACGAATATAAAACCCTATACCTTTTATGGTGGGGACTGTCATGTTAAGGTAAACAGCACTTATTAATTCCTTGGTTTTAAAAAAAAAAATGTATCTTCCACTTATAGTAAATTTGAGAAATAAAATTGTATATATATTTTAAATTAATTGGTTTTATCAAAGAAAGACCTTTTGAGTTCCAAAAAATTAGTGGTTGGTTCTACTATTATAATACTAGTAAATTGGAGAAATAAATTTTATATTTAATTATTTGGTTTTGTCAAAGGAAAGCCTTATTTACCTTATAGTACTCATAAGTTCTTTTATTGCTATATAGAGAATATTCTATAACTGAATTGGGTAAATTTTAGATAAGATTCATTTAGAAAAGTAACTAAAACTTTTTATTCTATAACTCTATTTTTAATATTAAAATGAATCAAGGAAAAACTGAAGAAATTATCTTTAAATAAGATAATTTCAATAAATTAAATATTTTTATATATTATCTTTTGTTTTATCTACCTATAATCTATATATTAGGTTATCTGTATATTAACACGTAAAGAATTTTCCTTTTATCTGCATGTACCTGCAATTTACTTATTATTTGTTCATACATGCCAAAAAAATACCAGTACACAGATCGCTTCAGAAGCAGATAACAGATAATACAGATCAATTTTCTTACAAATAATATTTTTAGAAAATTTGAAATAAATGAGGTTTTTGAGAAAATAATAAAAAAATTTTTTGAAAAAATTTCTTTAAAGAAAACAAGTGATCAGAAGCGGCCAGAAATAATTAGCTAAGAGTCCACAAAATAAACCGAATCACTATTTATCTTCTGCTCAAAAAGTACTCGGATTTTGTAAATAAAACACACAAATTTAAATTTTATTTCAAATTTATTTTATCTCCTTCAAAATATGCTCCTTCTGAAGCGATGTACATATGTCAACGCTTAACCCAATCTTACATACACTTTTCGTAGGCCCGTGCAGGTATGGCTTTTAGTTGCTTCAGCGAATTCTCTTTTACCGATTCAATCGACTCAAAACACTTACCACGAGGGAGCAATTTGAGTTTAGGGAACATGAAAAAGTCGCACGGATCCAGATCTGGCGAATATGGTGCCTGAGCGATGACAGTGGTGTTGACAGCCGTGTTTGGTCAAAAATTCGCGTACGACAAGAATTTTTCATAGTAAAAATCGCTAAATGCACTTGAGGTAGTTTCACATTAACAGCTGCTGTAAACAAACTAATTGACAGATGGGGCTGAAATTTGTACCATATGTCAAGAAAGAGTGTACCAACATAACAAAAAATTTTTGAAAAAGGTCTATTACTTAACAAACAACAAAACCCGGATAATTTTTGAGCAGAAAGTATATATTTATTTATAGTTAACACATTATGACTATTAAGATCAAATTTTGTTTAAATAATTGAAATTGTCTAAGTGACCCGAGGTATATTTCTGGTTAGAAACCTGTGTTGAATCATAATAGTTTCCAATGCCATTGAGATAAGGCATCCCAATATACTACTACTGAAGTTATTTGGATTTATTATTTTTGAGATATTATGTTTTTTGAATGCAACTATTTTTCGTGAAGACTTTCCTTCAGCATCCTATATCTTGATATTAATAGTAGAAATGAAAACTACTCCTTGACATTTATTTCGTATTTTGATCTCGTTTTTTGCAAATTGCATAAGAAACTTTACTTAATTTATTTTCTTACTAACACAATTAAAAAATTTCTAAATTATGGAAAAATTTCCTATTATGAAAGGCTCCAATCGCCCATCGTGGAAGCTTCAAAAGACCTCATACTACGACTTAAAACTTAAGCGTCCTATAGAGAGTGACATATTTGAAAGCTTATCAGATACAAACATAACATAAAATATAGAGCAACCTCAAATTTATCTCTTATGGAGTTTCTGCTTATAAGGAAATAAAGTACTGGTCTATCGTATATGAGTTATGGACTATGATTACTGTTCCCGGTGTAATGTTTTGTATAATTATTATCTACGCTTAAATTTTTGCATTATAAAAATACCAGCATCTAAGTAATAAAACAATCTTACACTAAATATAGTTTTATTAAGCTCGCCATGAGAGGGAACCGATTTCTCTTTCCTTCGGAAATGTTGTTCGAAACAATAATAAACTATTGTACATGTATTTATATTCTATATTAATTTGTCTTACAATTTTACAAATACGCAGGTGCATAAATTTATATATAATAAAAAAAAATAATTCTAAACTAGAGCATTGAAGTGCTTCATACAGCACTACAATAAACTATGTATGAAACAATTTGCTTCGGTAAACCTTTTTAAAATATTAAGTAATCACATTTATATTATATTTAAATTTAGTGACATAAATATATATCTTTTTTTCATTTAAAAACCCATATTCAATAGATTGCATTTTGATTAAGAAAACTTTAACTAAAAATACGTAAATATTCTATAAAATATTTTCTGAAGCTTTTAGAATATGTCTGTTTTCTTCTTTCTTGCTTGAATGAACTCAAGTTAGTGTCGGAAATGTTTTTCTTAATAGTATCTGCGATCACTTGGCTGATCTAATGTGATGGGCGTAGTGATGTCGTACTTTAAGGTTTTAGTATTTAATTATTTTTCTGAATGCGTAATATTGAAAATTTATCTACGTAATTTAGATTTATAGGTTTGTAATTGATTGGCGTGTCATTATTGTTAAATAAATGTTCGATGACAACACATAAATCTCAGTGTAATAATTAATGCATTAAAATGCGTGATTATGAACTATAAAACGATATCAATTTATTCAATCCGCCTTTATAACGTTTATATCTACTAAATTGAAAAAAATTTATAAAAGTTGAAAAAAAAAATTATAAATGTATGTATGGATTACCAAAATTTTGTTATAAAATAACGATTATTATTAACCTTTCAAAGTTGCAGCATAAAAGATCAATTCTGGTCGCGTTGCTCCACTACGTTCAGAGCCGGTACCCTATCTATATCTTATCTTAACCTTTCAAAGTTAATCAGTTTGATTTTTATCCCTCTTGGTGGTTTTTTTTTAAAACAATTTTCAGTTTTATTTGGAATAGGAATAGAAATAGTTTGTTTTCTGGCTTTTGTTCTCTTGACAACTAGACTGTTTTGCTGTAGACTTCCATAACTGAATGTCTTAATCTAACCAGACCTAGACATTTGCAAAGACAGTGCTCAGTTGTTTTATCACCCTTTTTTCCTTGCATCTCTGCAATTTTGATTGAAATTGACATCCACTTTGTCGACATAAATGTTGTCTAGCTAGTGGCCTTTCAGCACTGACTCATTGATCTTGGCACAATATCAATTTAGTTCGCATTAAATTATAGCTTAACCATTTTGGTTTGCATTTGTAAAAATTTCTGCTTTTAGAAAAGGGCAATGGTTATACCATACTTTTAAGACTTTCAACCATTATTTATTCTTCTACTAGGCATGTTACCAGTCTTTGTCTAGTCTT